ATTTGGATTCAAGGATGCCACAGTAAAATATCTTGAGCCTCATAGTCCTTGGATGAAAGACCACGGGGAAATTCAGGCCTGTAGGCCAGACTGGGAAATCACAAAAGAAAGAGGCCAGGTTGTGTACATATTGTCCCTAGGCATTCAGCTAAACTCCAGGTCCGTTTGCTAAATTCTTTTTATTTGATGAAACTTTATGTGAGAATGTTGGGGACGTGGATAACAAAGTAGATTTCAGCAAAGAGATCGTAGATTAATCTTTAGTGGTTACAATACACGCGATGGAGCTGATCTAGCCAGCTTGAAAGGAGCAACTTGCCAAACAGAAGTTGCTCTGGGGCAATCTGGTTGATGGGAGTTTTGGTGATAATGTTGTTTCTCATGCCACCAGAGTCAGTGTGCTAATATTTATGGGCTCCTTAAAAATAATAATTGCTAGCTTACCATAGTTAAAAGGCTGTGGTGCAATTTTGATTTAAGAAAGATAATCAGCTAAATCATATCTCTCCGATCTTGCCTCTCAAAATGATTATTGAAAATGAAAACTTCCACTCTGCTTCTTCTAGCTTGCGCTGTTATTATGTGTGTCCGCTCATTTCTTCTATTGGCCTCTCACTTTTTCCTTCACTTAATTATTTGCTCTCCTGACCCACTTGATTTATTTATCTAATTTATAGAGCCTCCCATCTCATGAGCAAGAGTCTCTGGGCAGCGTACAAGAAAACTAAATAAATTTTACATTTATTATCATTAACAAATATTAAAAACATTGAAAACTAAAAGAGGTTATATTAGGCAGCCACCGTATCTACCAGAAGCTGATATAAATGCTCATGCTGCTGCATTTTGCCCCAAATAGTTTCAGCTAATCTTCAAGGGCAGCTCCTGAACCCCTAACTTCCTTCCCAGACTTTCCCCAATTTTACTTCCTTTCCTCTCATTTATTTCCTTCCTACTTTTCTTCTTTCCCATCTTCTTCTTTGCAGTCTTCTTCCTTTCTCAGGGAGCGTCTATGGAGATCCTCAGTCCTCCAGGTCCTGATTGTCCCAAAGGTGCTTTTTGAGGAGGCAACTGGACTTACTTGTTTTTTTCTTTTGAAGACGTTTCGCTTCTCATCCAAGAAGCTTCTTCAGCTCTGACTGAATGGTGGGGAATGGAAGGATTTATGTTCCTTGCAGACAGCTGGTCATTTGCATCCTTTTAGAGAGTCGTCTGAGGCCATTTGGTGGTTTGTCTGTGTCCTCAGCGTCACCTGAGTGGTGCAAATTGGTATGGAGCCTTTCTTTGGGAGAGTTTTAAGCTCAGAAACAATGAGTCATACTGACAACTCCCCTCCCCCTTTTTCCAAGCCCCCTGATTCCATCTTAGTTATCCCCCTTTTTTTGTCTCCTTCCCACCAGCTCTCTCCTTGTTCTTTTTCCTCCCTGATGATTTTCTTCTTCCTTCTCCTGTCTCCTGAGGTTGCAGGGCTTTTCATGCTGTTTCCTCCTGGGCACCTTGATGTTTCCTCCGAGTAGCTCCTGATGAAACATAGCCCTCCTCCTCTCTTTTCTTTAATGCAACACTTCTGCATGACTTCAGTCTTTGAATTTGTGTCCTGGGGCAGTTTTTTAAAATTCTTCTTTCCCAATCATTAAATCATCTTAACGTATCTTTGTTGGTTACAGATGGAGATAAGAATATGTACACTCTTGTTCTTTTCTTTCTGTCAAAGCGACCAAATTTCCTGCCTGCTTAGTTAGGCATTTCTGGTTGCTCCTTTTGCCTCAAGCAGCCCTTCCCTCCTCCTCCTCCTCCTCCTCCACCTCCTCCTCCTTCCCCCAGGCACTTTCCTTGGCAGAGAATCTTGGGCCAGTCTCACCTCTTTCAATTTTTTCCCAGGCAACCATGTTCCTCTCCAAGAGGAAGAGTAGGGGTACCAAGAGGTACAAGTCGCATTGCTTGAATGGTGCAAGCTCTCAAAGCAGCTAAGACTCGCTGCTTCCAAGGAAAGGGAGGGAAAGAAGCAGCCAGAATAGAATACATAATGACAGAGTTGGAAGGAAGGTTGGAGGCCTTCTAGGCCAACCCTCTGCTTGAGCAGCAGACCCTGCCCCATTCCAGACAAATGGCTGTCCAATCTCTTCTTCAAAGGCTCCAGGGATGGAGCACTGAGCAGAGGGCTTTTCAGAGGCCACGTGTCCAGGAACAAATGAGATCCTTTCCCTTTCTTTTTCTCTACCCATTTGTCTAATGAAGCATCTTTTGGCATCTTAAAAAGCCACACATTAATTTCAGTATAAAGCTTTGGCGACAGAGTCCATTGGCTATTCTCCAAAAGTAACTTGGTATTATACAGATCTCCTTGAGAGAGAGGTAACTGAGTAACAAACATATTTATTATTTCTCTTAAAAACCTTTTGCCCTAACTTGACAGCAGGAACAAAGTTGCACTGTTCTCTATTACCACCATAGCCAAATAAATGTTGCTGGTTGTTTGGTCGGATCTTCTTTTTACTTCTTTCTGAACTTTGGAAAGCCCTTATCTCAGATGTTTGGGGAGGACCAGAGTCTTTGGTGGACTTTTAGAAGGTCTATTTTGGAAGGCTAAATAAATATTTTAACTGACACTGTAATCAGGTGAAATTATTTTGAATTGTTCTATAATTTGGATTTTGTTTTATTTACCATCCAAGATAAATAAATGATAGGAAGTATAGAAACGTGGGGGCAGAGGGAAAAAAAACCTCTGGAGAGATTTTGAAGTGACTGATTATCAATTGTTCCTCACTCATCCTTTTTGCACCATAAAGTTTGTCTGCAGTTTGTTTGCAGCAGAATAGCAGAGCAAGGTGGAAATGATTACAAAATATAAAGAGCACCACCCATGTGCTGCAAAATCAGTTTTTGCCATAATGTAGAAGTAATAATAAGAACACAAAAGACCCAAGATCAGCAGTCAGCCTTTCCAGCCTTTCCAGGTGCATGCCTCCTCTTCCTTTGATTACTCTCCCATCAGCCAGACCAGTTATCAGTGATTCCAAAGTCCAGAAGAGCTCTGAATAAACCTGCAAACCAAGCAGGCTGCAGCTGCCTAAAGTCTTGGAGGCCGTAAAGGGACAATTGCCACCATGACTTTCTCTCGGGAATCATTTGGAACTGGGACAGAAGAGGACTGGACCCAACTGGAATTCTAACAATAGCGTTTTGTTCATTTTGACTGATTGAGAGAGTTACCATTTAATAGATCGTTGTAGAATGCCACAACCTAGTATATCTTTGATTCAGTGAAATACAAAAGGTTTGCTGTGATGCACTCATCAGTGAGCTGATAACACGTGGTGCAAATGATCCATTGCCATTTTGCAAAGAAGCCTAAAACATTTGCTGAAGGCAGAGCTCTCAAGCACTGTGCCTCACCAGAGGGTAAGCAGGGCAGCAGTCAAGAAAAGGGAAAGTTGTTTAACCTGGAGAAGGGAAGACTGAGAGGACTTGCCACAAATATTTCAAGGGCTGGTGCCCAGGACGAGGAGCAGGAACATCATTTCTGAGCAGAAATAAGAGAAATGCAGATTTTGGCTGCAAATGCCTTTGGCGGTGCAAACCGTCAGTGGTAAAACAGAGCCGTCGCTTGTTGCAGAGATGGCCTGAACAGCTGCACCTGGTTGAGAATGCTTTCTAACCCATTATCCCTTACATCAAATAGATTGTTAGACTAGATGATCTCCAAATACTTTCAAGCCAATATGTACTTCTTTTCTTTCTTTCTCCCTCAGTTGGCTCCTTTGTCCTCCTCATATCCTGTTTGAACGTCCACCCATATAGGAATGCTGTTATTGCCTTGCTTCTACTTAGCCATTCCATTTTTGTCCAAGTTTCTCTGTACCTACTTTCTTCTCTAGTCCTCCATAACTTAAAATGTAAAAAAAAATCTGCCGGTTTCATACTATATATTCTTTTTACACCCCAAGGCTGCCTTGAATTTTCCAAGAGGCCAATTAGGAGTCTGACTAGGCTGATGGGTGCATTCGTAAGGCAGCTTCAGAGCTTTTCTGAAGTTGTGAGGGTGCACTAATAAAAGGACTGAATGCATCCTTGTGATTGTATCCCTCATGTCAGAGTAGGAGAGGGAGAAGAACTCATTAATTCAGAGAACTGTCCTGGCCAGGCCAGCCTAGCCCTCTTTCCTGCTGGCATTTTAAGCTGAGGGCTAAAGAAGAAAGAAACACCTGAACCCTTCCGATAGAGGGGTGGGCGTCACAGGAAGTGTCCAAACTTCAAGACCACCATTTTTTGGGCTGCCACTCTGACCTGTATGCCAAGGTAACCTCATCAAAGCTGGTAATATATGTGCTCATGCTGAGCACTAGCTTCCAGTGCCACCTGGATGTTTATGAATATTCTGTGTCACTAACCCAGCCAGATGGATAATATCACCAAAATTGACAATGCCTTTCTCGGGAAGGTGGAAGTTAATATTCTATTTAGTCTTCTCCCAAATAAGAGCAATTCTAGATTTTGATTTTTCCTATCCGAGATTTCAGTGTGAGGCTATCTCGAGCCCTTCTATAGCACAGCTTGTTGGATTTGCCGTCTGCTGGGTACAGCGTTGGTGAGGCCTGCTGAGCCTCTTCCTTGAGGCCTAGCAATGAGTCACGCTCTCCCAACAGAAGCTGAGGTGTGGTAGCCCCAAACATTTGGTTTCCGGCCTTTGCTCAGCAGTTGAAACTTCGGCCTGCTTCTGCCGGGCCTCTGCCGGAGGGATCTTTGGGGGTAGACACATTACATAGGTGCACATTCTCCAGAGTTCAGGTGCACATACAGAAACTGTGGGTAGTAGGCACATCATTCAACACTCCCATGATTTTTGCTTCCCTTGGTTAACCCCCCCCCCAAGTCTGATATGATTTATATATTTATTGATGCATTGTTCTATATGTGTGTTCTTAATTGCAACAAAGTCACCCCATCTCCCACTGTTCTGATCTATTAATGACAAATTTCACTGTTTCTTTTTTAAGGTAAACAAAAGTATCTCTGTGCCAGCCGAAATGACTGCACCATTGATAAATTCCGAAGGAAAAACTGTCCCTCCTGTCGCCTGAGAAAATGCTATGAAGCAGGGATGACCCTTGGAGGTAAGTCCCGCCACCTTTTGCCACTGGTGGGTTCCCCAAAATTATATGGTCTTTGGGTGTCCCAGAACTAATGAAGCCGAAACTCCTCTATGAAATCACAGGAGAAAAGATCAAAGTTTATGCCAAGTGTGTTTGAGATTAGGGCCATTCACTGATGAGCTCTTCAGAAATTCACAGCTTTTATGAGATGGATCTTCTGTGTCTTTATGCAGGAAGCAATCCCATCAGATCAAACTCTAATGAACCTGAGCGTATTACAAAGGCAGGTGTCCATATTCCCCAGCCAAGGGACAAAAAGTAGCTGGAAGAGACATTACCTTGAGAAATCAGGAGAAAAACCAGCGATTGGTTAGAAAGGAAATATGAATAAGGATATAGAGATAAAATAGATAGAGAATAGATGGGAGAAAACAATTAGAAAAATAGATACCCAGATGATGTCAAGTAAAAGGAGAAAGGGGAGAGGGGGGTAAAAGGGAAAAAAGTGAGATATTATAAAAATGTACGCAAATGATGAAATAAAAATAATAATTGAATAAGAAATTGAAATGAGAATAAAGATAATTAGAAAATCGGGGCTGCTCGAATACCATTTTAGATTGAACTGAAAGGGGAAACAACAAGAGAGAGGGGAAGGAGTAGAGAGAGAGGAAGGGAGAAGAGAGGAGAGGAGAGAAGAGGAAAAAGAAGAAAGGGAGAGGAAGAAAAGGAGGGGAAAGAGGAGCAGAGGAGAAGGTTAGAAGGGGGGAAGAAGAGAGGAGTGGGGGAAGAGAATGGGAAGTAGGAAAGAGAAGGAGTGGAAGAACGAAGGAAGTAGGAGGAGAAAGGAAGGAAGAGAAGGGGAGGAGAAGAAGAAATGTTGGAGTAAAGGTAAAGAGTAAAAGAGCAGCCCCAAAAAAGTAAAAATGAAAAATGAAAGTTAAAGAAAAGATGAATGAAAAATGATGGAAATGACTGTACATGTAAATATGTTTATGAGAAATAAAAATAAAAAACTTTTTTGGAAAAAAAATCAGGAGAAAAAAAGCTGCTTTTAAGAAAAAACTTGCAGTTAGGAATGGTGAAGACTGGGCAAAATAAGAATTAAGAATACAGCATGCATACCTGTCTATCTTTGTATTTTAATAGTATCTCCTAGTAAACTTGTTTTCTAAGATAAGCACTCTCAATTGCTATAGATTGGATTAGATTTAGATTAGAATCTTTATTGTCACTTTTTTTTATTGAAAAGTTTTTTACAAACATTTTAACCAAGTTTTAAGCCCCATCTCCCTCCCCATTCCCCCTCCCTCCCCTCCCCCTTCTCCCCCCCACCCCCCGACTTCTCAGAGCGAAATACAGGGTATTCCATTTAGCAATCTTAAACTCATATACTATCTATCTATAAACTCTTTTCATCCCTTTTTCACTTTAACTCCCTATTTACGTAGCTAAGTAATAACATATCTTCTTAAATCCAAATATTCATTCATATACTATTTGAAACTTTTTAGTCCCATATTTGTTTTGAATATAATCAATCCATCTTCTCCAATCCACAATATATCTTTCTTGTGATTGGTCTTTCAAATATGCTGAGATTTTCGCCATCTCTGCTAAATTCGATACTTTTAATGTCCATTCTTCTATAGTAGGTAAATCTTCTTTCTTCCAATATTGCGCCACTAGCAGTCTTGCTGCCATTATTAAATTTAACATCAAGTTAGTTTCAATAACAGTACAGTCTGAGATAATACCCAGCAAAAATAACTGTGGGGTGAAACTTATCTTTTTCTTAAAAACCTTCTGAATAATCCACCATATTTTTATTCAGAAAGTTTTAACTTTTTTACACATCCACCATATATGATAATAAGTTGCATCATCACAATCACATCTCCAACACTTAGGTTGTTGGTTCGGATACATACATGCTAATTTTTTAGGATCTAAATGCCATCTATAAAGCATTTTATAAAAAATTTCTCTCAAGTTTTGTGCTTGTGTAAATTTCACATTTCTAACCCAAATTTTTTCCCAGGTTTCCATCATTATTGGTTCCTGGATATTCTGTGCCCATTTTATCATACAATCTTTAACTAATTCAGTTTCTGAATCTATTTCTATCAATGCATTATATAACCTTTTTATATACGATTGACCTTGATCTCTAATTTGTTTTACCAAATTTTCATCAGTTTTTATGATACCAATTTTCTGATCCTCTTTCCATCTCGCGTGTAACTGTCCGAACTGAAACCAAGTCTGGGCTATCTTTTCTTCTCTTAATACATTTAAAGTCTTTAGTTGCAATATATTCCCTTCCATTATGAGAAGTTCCTTATATGTAGTCCTATCTTGTTTCTGTTCCACACTTACATTTTCCATCGCAAGTCTGGGTATTGCCCATATAGGTATCTTGTGATTTAATTTATATTGATATTTTCTCCAGACACGCAACAGAGCACTCCTCAATATGTGAGTCTTAAAAACATTATCCTTTTATCCTTAGCTTGTTTATCATAAAAAAGCTTTTATCATACAACAGAGATGCATGCCATCCATATAATAGATCATATCATCATTATTGTCACTTTGATGTATACTAATCAGCATATATTAAAATGAAATTTCATTGCATACAGCTCTCAAAAGGTCACCACCTCCAATATACACTATATAAACATGAGAAAATAAATAGATAGATAAATAATTATGCATACACCCACATATATGACACAGAGAAACAACAGTCTAGTTTGGATGACGAGAGAGACAAATATTGCAAGTTTACCAGACGGATGGCACAAGGAACAAAACTGTTCCAGAATCTGGCAGTCCTGCTAGAAATACTTCTAAATCTCCTCCCAGAGGGGAGCAACAGAAACAGACAGTGGGGTGGGTGTGTGGGGTCTCTAACAATGCTTCGAGCTCTAAGCACAGAGCACTTAGAAGCAATGTCCTGAATAATGGGAAGTGAGCTTCCTATAATCTCCGCTGTCCTTACCACTCTCTGTATGGACCTTCTATCTGAGGCACTGCTACCACCAAACCAAACAGTGATGCAATTTGTTAAATGCTCTCCATTGCGCCTCTGTAAAAAGTGGCCAGGACAGAAGGAGAAAGATGTGCTCTCCTCATCTGACGCAGGAAATGCAGACGCTGGTTTGCATGCTTCACTAAAGATGACGTGTGGAGAGACCAAGTCAGATTGCTAGTTATCTGCAACCCCAGACACTTAATACTGTTGACCACCTCTACAGCTGCATCTTTGATACTGAGTGGAGTATGACTATGTGGCTCTTTCTAAAATCTTTTATACCTACAGTATTCTGACCTTGGAGGTCTTCTAGTCCAACTACCTGCCCAAGGCAGAAGATCTCCTCCATCCCGGACAAATGATTGTCTAAAAATAGTTGTCTGTCTCTAAACCAATTTAGAAAAGGCTATGCTACACACAAAAAAAGTAAGTGGATAAGAAAGACTAATTAGACAGCAAGCTATAGAGGAAAAAATTGTTGTGGGGGACCTCTGGACCCAATGTTCCTTTTACCAAACACACACACAGCAGAATTTATTGTGGACTATCAGTGTAATCTCATAAGTATTTTAAGTTTCACCTGAACAAGCAATACTACCCTAGTAAGCAACCCCTACCCCAGGGAACATTACTTTTTAATGAGCAAATTATTATCTAGTTGAGTGCTGGGCACCCCCAGGGTCCAGCCCAATGGTTTCCCTGCTTCTGGCAGCAGGCCTTTCCCAGATTCAGGGCCACAACTCGGGCCTGCTCTGGTAGAGATGCTGATCTCGGCCTCCACCTCATTTCCCAGCTGCAGAAATGCTACCCCTCCCAAACTCCTCTGCATGCAATTCGAGGCTTCCATCTTGCCTCACTGATGCCTGGAGGTTAGTATAAAACATGGAGTGATGCAACGTTGCTTATTTCTTTTAATTTAATTAATACCATCTTGTAACCCCTCCTCTTGTGGGGTTTTGAGACAGTTGATCTTAACTTGCATTCTCTTCCCAGTTCCCCTCTGTTTCTTCAGCATTTACTCTACTCCTCAGTAACTCTTAAGATCTGCCTGGAAATGCATAGGCTCTATTACAGGATGCCATGTGTTGATTTAATTTAAAATGTACTGCAGGTTGTGTCCTGCACGTTTTCTTAAGCATTTAATAATTTATACCAGCAGGTGCTGAAGTAAAATTGACATGAGTTGAGCCAATTTCACTTTGTAGCCTAAGTATTTATTTTATCTATTTATTTTACTTCAGTAGTCTTATATGCCGCTTGAGTCAGGCCTGATAAAGCAGCAGCTTACTGACCTCCTAAAACAGTATTAAGATTAAAACCAAATAGTAGAAACATAACAGTATAATAAAATAGCACTCTATCTAATGTATTTAATTGGTAGTATTCTGTGCTCCAAGGAACCACTGTAATCCCATCCACTTCAGGAGAGATTAAAATGGTTCCTTCAGCCCAAAGTCTGGCTGAAATAGCCTGGCTGTAATGGAATTGCAAACAGGGCTGGGGCCAACCTGATTTGAAGAGCGGTGCTTTTCCAGAGTAGAGGGCAGTGAACGAGACGCTTCAACCCCAGAAACCCTGCAAGAGATTGTCCCAAAACGATGGGATGCAGAGGGAGCCTTCTCTTCCAGGTCTCAAGGGATGGGTAGAGACTGTTGGGAGAATGAGATCCCACAGATAATCGGGATCCAACAGGGAGACCTTTCTTTCATGTAGGAGAGGTCCATCTCATTCATCTATTAGTTGTTTAAGGGTAATAATAAACATATGCATGAGGGCAAGCCAGTAGATAGCATCTTCTTAGATTTCAAAAAGCCATTGATAAAGTTCCTCATCAAAGACTTCTCAGTAGTAAGCAGAACAGCCATGGAATAAAAGCAGATCTTTTTGCAGATAAAGAACTGGCTAAAGAATAGGAATCCTGGGATTCTTTCCTAGGACAGGCGCTTTTTAACACATTTATAAATGATCTGGAATCGGGCAT